CACTAATCGTCTGGCTGGACCCTCGTCTTAGCCGTTTGGCCCTGCTGGCCCTGTCCTTTTATTTCTTGAACTTCTAATGCCTGCTCCTGATTCGGTTGCTCCTTGGGTTCGTTCGTGGGCTCTTTGGGTGCGGTCGTAGTGTCAAAATCTGTCTTCGATCTTGAAGTCTCAGTAAGGTTAGGCCGGAGCCTAAATCGTTCGAGCTGTTTGGCCATACTTGTTCGATTTAGCCTGAAGCGTCCATTGGTCGCCTCAGATTCCCTTTGCTGATCCCATCGGACGTGCTGATCGCTCAGTCTCGGCGTCTCTTCCTCTTCACTGTTACTATTTGACATCAAGGATGGCATTGTGGCACTAGCGTCACTACTGGCGTACCCACTGTCGTCTTCTACCGCGTGTGGATTGTGAAAGATTCCGTCATTTTGCAGTGCCATCTTACTTTCACTATTATAATTCGACGTCATCTTTCTTTGTTCGTCTTATTCCTATAGAAAAAACTAAAAAATTTCATTCAATTATTATAACGTAGCTTATTTCTTAATTACTAATAAACTCACAACTTCCTTGGTAAGTTAAAAATGTGGTAAACGAAAGCTTCAATAACTGTATCGCTACGTTCTTCCTCCGTAGAGAGGGAGACGTTGCTCATTTATTAGTAATTGTAAAATTAGTGACTCTAAGAGTGAGTCATAAGTCATGTGCTGTAATAGTCAGCAAAACCTAAGTTTATCAGATTATTCTGATAAACTGTAAAAAGCTATACTAACTAAAATAAACTACTAAACCCTAAGTACTTGTATTCTGACCACAGCCTATTTGTTAGTAGAAAGTACTATGAAAATGTGTTTGTGATGCTGTGAACACGTAGCTAATATATAGGTTCCCTTACCGTGTATGTATTTCTCATAATTGTTTTCAGAGTAGTATAATAGCGATGTATGTCCGTGTGGCTCGTATTGAAGGATGTGGATAAATGGCGTGTCGATAAGAGGTGCCGGAGGCGGATACTATCGTTTAAAGTTATGCCACAGAGGATCCACCTAGTCCCTCTTTCTAAGTATTATTGTATGTGTAACCATTTACATATTATTATTGTGATTTCATGCATCTCTTGAATTATGAGTTCAGTATAATTATGTGTACGCTACTATGTTGATATGTGCCGTCTATATGAATTGCCGTGGTCATCTATGTCTGTATATGTTATGTTAAATAAAAAAATTTAAATTTCGGTATAACTAATTGTATTTATGATCCTATTAGCATATGTAACCGTGTATATCATCGTACCCATAAAAGTATCCTTTGTTTCTTGTGTTCTTTCGTATATGAGTGATTATAGTTAAAACAATTATCATTGACAATTGATATTCAATCTAAATCATTAATGCATGAACCAGTTTCAAGCTGTGTATCTCATGTGACGTCATATCCTAGGTATAAGTATGTTATACCATGGAATTATTATCCATGATACCGTAGTAAAAAAATGTCTGGTATTCGTTGTTGTTATACACCTTGTAACATGAACGACTCCGTTATAATCACTGTACCATGTGTATGCAACTTAATCTAGTCCGTAACCAAATTGAGATTTACTGGTCCGAATCAGCCACTAGTCTATGTTCATTTGTAATGTATTATAACTTCATATCTGTTTATGAAGAACTTCCATGTTAAATCTATCCATAAATTAAAGTGTCATTTCTTTTGAATGTGATTATATTCGATTGAATGTGATTGTATTCGATTGAATGTGATTGTATTCGATTGAATGTGATCTCGATTTCAAACACGTATACGTGTGACCCTATGTTGATTTGTTATGCGTAAGCCCTCTATCTATAACGCGCAGGACCTCCTCTAATATGTGTGAAAAGATGAGTGTCGTAGCGTGCGTATTTGCTGAGATATCCGTGTTTTAGCTGTGAGTTATATATTGGTTATTGTATGTTTACGAGTGTTAACGTTCATTGTAACACGTAAACGGTTGTGAAACCGTTTTCTATTGTTTTTTGAAAAAAGATATATGAAATAATTAGGCCCATTTTTAGGCCCCGTTGTTCTGTAAATATATACGTAAACGAATTAGACTAAAAGCGTAAAACGCATTAGACTAAAATTGTGAACCGCATTAGACTAAAAGCATAATGTTTGTGAAAGTTAATACAGAGTGTTCTCCTTCATCCGCCTATGTTGCGGGCGGTTACCATTTTACTATATAATAACAAATAATACTGTACTGTCTTCTTTCTTCTCTCATTACAGATTTGACCGTGTGCGACACCTATATATGTGACGCTCACCAACCATGGGTATCAGCGACAACTCCTTGTCGTGCCCGGCCATATCGTAGTATACCATTAAACCTACTTATTCTGGTCTGCGCTTGTTCTTAATGATTTGAGGTGTTATGTATGATGTGCGCGTGGTGTGATGTTCTCATGAGCATACTTGAGATGGGCACGCTTTCCGTGACTCCGTCACAGCGCCTTACATGTTCCGCCTGCCACACCAATAGGGTTACGCATATTCCGTCGTCTACGTAGTAGTGTCTCAACTGTATCGCCTCCTGCGTGACACGTCACACATGTTCCGCCTGCTGCGTAATCATGTTGTACACGTTCCGCAGTCTACGTAATAATGCTACCCGTGGTATCGTTGGGTACGTAATAATGCTATCCAAATCAACACCATTCATAGCGACTATGCAACACGCTTGAGGCTGCGAGTTCCTACCGACTCTTAAGTGTTAGGACAAAGTTCAATGCGAAGTGTCCTCAGGGTTGCTCACCTCTGAGTAAGAGTCAACAGGGTGCTCGCCTGTACTCTCAGCATCTAAATAACCATATGGTATATTCTGTCGACTGTGATAGTGCCATGCAGCACGCTAGCGAGGCTGCAGCTGCTCACCGACTTCAAAGTGCCTACGCAAAGTTCAATGCGCCGTGTCCTCAGGGTTGCTCGCCACTGAGTTAGAGTCAACAGGGTGCTCGCCTGTACCCTAAGCTTACAGATATACTTGCCACTCACCACCACGGCTCATGTTTAGCGACGTATGACGTCGTGTGTCTGCTTGTTTCTATGTCTATTGTATTAGTGTTGCACGTATATTACTATGACACTAGTGTAAGCCCTTGTATGTTTATATGTGCTTGTTGTCTTCTTATAGTGTATGATGCATCAAATTACTTATATTATTTCCGTTGTTGTCGAATATGTATCATGTTTATCTATCGTAATGTGTGTAAGCAATGTGTCTTCTAATAGTGATCTGTGCAGCTCAGTGCATCATATATGTTCTACTACAGGTGTCTATTCTGTATATAACAGCTTTTATTACAAGAATATCATTCCTCTAACATCGACTATCGGTTACATGAGTGTGTTGTCATCACCCATGCACGCAGCAAGAACGCAACCTCGGCCAGACATACCATCGACCCAGGCTGCTCTAACCTTGTACCAGGCGTCGTTGTCGTCGACTCTCACGCGTTTGAATCCATTTGCGATATGCGGGCACGACGTTGGGATCGTCAGAGGCATCGGCTGTCATCCATGTAGGAGATCCTTCCAACCAGCGTACCGAATATTTCGATTGCTGAGTCGCCTCATTATGACGGTGCGATATGATGTGTCGAAATGTCGAGCCGCCCTCTCTCCATAGAGATTCATCGAGTAGTGGCTCCGTAGCCCGATGCACAAGCCGAATAATCTCCACATTCACGGGTCGGTCTCTGAGCTCAGGCGGCTTGCTGCTATCCTTTGCTCGTAGATGGTAGCTCTGATTTTCCCGACTATGGATTACGTACGGACCAAGCAGTGGTTTCATGGCTTTGGTCGTCGCTCCCTGAGCGAGTATCATGACGACGTCTCCCGTCTTACATTGAGTCAAATCAAATTTACGCATCTGATCCGTAGCCTCTGCTATGACATCAGTATACTTAATCGTTTTCAGATGAAGTTTTGGTAAGATAGTCTTCTCCAAATCATCCTGCCTCTTTAACCATGCATCATTCGTGGTAGGAATATGACCAGGTAAGTCATCAGTCATGTTTGCAAACGGGACATGTCGTCGACCAAAATAAACGCTAAATGGTGCTGATTTGTGACGTCGTGATATCCGAAGGTTCTGGTATAACATAGTAAACGGTAGACGTTCATCTCACAACTCCGGACAACCAACACACTATGCGCGCACGCATTTGTGGATTTCCTTATGTCGGCGTTCCGCCGCGCCAACTTCTGCGGGCGGTATGGTTGGGACGTCTTGTGTATAATGCCCAACGCTCGTGTGATGGATTGGACAATATTGTTTACAAATTCGGTGCCCTCGTCACTCTGAATCTTACGAGGAAATCCATGCTCACCAAACACTGACACTAACTCTGCCGCCACTGTCTTTGCATCCTTCGCAGGTATCGCCCTTAGAATAGAGTAGCCGCCACATCAAGCACATGTAAAATAAATTTGTTTCCTTTAGTGGATGTGAACGCCATAGGAATGAGATCCATGTGTATATGATCCTAGGGGTACCGAGCGGTAATATTCATTAACGGATAAAATCGTATTGTTGCTCCAGCATGTGCGACATAACTTGAGGACTTCTTCTGTGATTGGAAGCATCTGGTCCCAGTTATGTCCATCGTCGCGCGTACTGTAACTGCTGGGGCCGGATGTCCTTGTTCATGAAATTGTAATGTCAACTGAACCCGACGGTTCGCTTCCTCGTGCCCTGGATGATTCATCACTGTAGCACCCGCACATATTTCAGGAATCTGTGCAGCGATCTGTCGCGTTCGTTTCGTCATCACCGGTTGTGCCCAATCTTCCTGATAACGTGTACTAGCGTCTTCACATAGAGGTACCTCCAACCCTAAGTCACACCAAAACGATGGATTGAATTTGTATCCAGATGGAGGGCCAATGTTTTTACCGATTCGGCTAAACCCTAAAACGGGTATATACCACAAGCCTGTGAGCCGTGCTTCAAGAATGTGTGAGCCATACGTGGGATAAGTAGCGGGTCTGCTTGCATCATCGATAGAAGTAAAGGGAACCATGGCACACGTGTGTTCAACGGTAAACATATTGTTGCCGACGCCTTGTCCTTCAACACCTTACGCAACACCTTATGTGTAAGACGCAACGTTGGGTTCATCCATGCGTTGTATTTACTCCAGTTAAACTCAAACGCCCCGCCATCCTTGTCGTACGACCAGTATTGGCGAAGCTAAGCGTTATGACTCGAGGCAAAGGCATCGGCGTCGTTTGGTCCAAAGTGCTTCTGGATCTGGTCAAAGAAATCCGGAAACAACTTCCAACATGACGTATAGAACACTGCGGGGTAGTTTATATCCGCCGTGCCCTCATGAACACGACTCCGCATGTCTGGTAACTTGTTCAGTTCTCCAGGTACATGTGTAATAGTAAAGTTGAACTGTGCAATAATATGATGCCATCG